TCCTTCCGGCCTGTCAAGGCCGCAGAGCATCCTCTTGCTGACGGTGTTTCCTCCTAAGCTGTCTTAGCCGGTCTGATCCTTCTTGGTTGGTTCGGGTTGCTTCCGGTTGAAACTCGGGGGCCCGTTATCGCGGCCTAGCGCTGAGTGTGGATGGGGGCATTCGGACGTGATGCTCCACCGGGGGAATAGGCCGTGGCCAAGAATCCGGTCGAGGGGAGTGTTGCAGCCCGAGGCCACCGGGCATCTCGAGGCTCATTCCAAGCATTGAGGCTCTGCTGGACCTTGCGATCCTAACCCCAGGACTGTGGGCAATGTCCGTGTGACATTCTTATACCCAACGAAGATCAGTACGTACCGGTCTTTGTGGCCTGAGGCCTCACGGACTCCGTACGGTCTATCTGAAGTTATGTGCATACAAGAAGGTCCGCAAATGTCTTTGACCCAATCTCTGTTCTTCTTCCGACGCCCAGCTTGCGGTCAGCCGCTCTGTTTCAATAGCCCGTCAAGGATGCTTGGCCTTTCGGTCAGTCGCTCTGTTGGTTGTTGGTGGTTGCCTGCGCCGTAAGCTAGAGCGATAGTTGTTTCAATAGCCTGTTAGGGATGCCGTGTGAACATCCGTGTGACACAGCCTGCTGGACTCGTCACCATCACACTCCTTCACGACCTGGGGAAACCCCAAACCAAAAGACCGAACCAACCAGCTCAGAACCCTTCGTCATCTCAGTCATTGCCAGCCTACGGCAAATCACTTTTGCCATTGATCCTCTCGATTCAATTCAGAAACCAGAATTCGTCTGTATCCTCAACCATCCTCATCCTTGGGCTCACCTAATTTGACGGCAAGCCACACCCTGTTTCAAGCACACCATGACAGCTTTCCATCTCTTTCCCCGTCTTCCATGGGAACTCCGAGCTCGGATATGGGTGTTACGATCCAATCGTTGAGCCTCATGTAAGCTAGATAGATTGACCAATCAGATAGGACCCGGGGTCCCGAGTTTACGGGACCACGGGACGGGGTTGAAGACCAGTATATAAGAAGGCCTCCCGGCCTTCGTTATACCTGGTTCTTCAGCAAGCAATAGCTATCACAACCTACCAGTACCTTTTGGCTACTACTCCGTTACTCTATTGTTCTATCCCAGCGATAATACTCCTGTGCTTGTAACGGTTCGTCACAATGGGAGCTGACCGTCGAGCCTCGAACGGTTGAGGTCATTGTCAAATACGAACTCATAATGGTCACCAATGACATGAGAACCAGATACGACTTTGGTACTGATCCAGACAAAATTTTCTGGATTTACGTCCTCCGTTTGCGATCATCCACCCCAGTGCCTGCGCCTCTGCAAGCCTGTCGAGAAGCGCGGGTCCACCTCACAGAAGATGTTGGTGGCTCCTTGGGGTCCTACAGGAAGACAGATTTCCACCAACTAGCAGAGGCAAAGGGCGACGGGATCAAGACGACGCTGCAGCCGGAACTCCGCCTTGAGCTTGGCCTCGGCCCAGAGCTGCGCCGTTACGTCTGGTTAAATTTCGAGATGGACATGATCTCCATCGGGGAGAGAAACTTCACGCTCTTTAAGCAGTATTACAGAGACATCAAGACGGCTCAAGGCTTGCGCGGCAAACGCGACGAAAGCTATGATTACTTTGATCACAACGCCCTAAGAGAGTTTTCCAATGTCAGAGAGTGCCACGTGGTCTGTCTCGACGGTATCGACATGTGGGAAGATGCGGAGATCGGCATTCCTGGCGACGTGGAAAAAATATTGCTAATCGATGGGAAAACGGGCGAGACGGCGACGCCCGCTGAGATTGAGGCCAAATGGAACAAGATCCGGGGTGTGGAAATGAGAAAGGGGGGAGCGCGCATCCACTATGACACCAGTGTGCCTTTTGTTCCATGGCTTTCACCGGGGGTGGTTTGAGGGACGAGAGGAGTGGGATAATTACGAAGGCCCTTGGTGAGGTTTTGAGGATCCGCACCTCACAGGCACAAACACCTAGCACATTACCACGAGGAAGACCCCCAGTCTAGCCTATTCCATGTCAAATCCGGTCCCGGTCCCATGGAAGTCATTATCGCACGTCCTCCTTTCTTTCTTTGCTTGCAGGTCAATGCCAGCCTTCCTTCTTCAAGGCCATACAAAATCTCCCGGATTCCTCACAACAAACACACCAACTTTCTCCCCCGTAACATTATATTCAGTCATACCCACCACCGTCCCGTTCAGCCGAGTGCACTTATCCATGACGACAGCAGTGGTCTGGGCAATATTTCGGCACGTCCCGCGACTCTCCGGACCGTAAGGGACAGAACCAGCACGCTGAGGCATCAACATTGCGGCCTGGAACACGGTGTAAACCGGGATCGTAAGGTTGGATCCACCGACCAAGCCGCTGGAGTGAGTAGTTTTTCGGAGCGCTGGACAGGGGACGTCACCGAGAGTGGCAAAGCGGTGGATTATGGTTGCCGTGTCGATTGCCTAGGTGTCACGATCGCAAGAATTAACTTTTGTAATCTGTACAGCGGCGCACAGAGAAATGGAGGGAGGTACCTGCGCCAAAATACCGGGCGTCCAATCCGTCGAACAAAAGAGATTACTTGGGTGGTTTGTAGTGGGTGCATTGCCGCCGGAGTTCTTCATCAAATTAAGGAAAGCTTGCACTACATTTTCCGGAGGGAGAGTAGTGGCGGGATTGGCGATGATTGAGTTTGTCCAATCCAAAAAGGAGAAGCGGGTATCGCGAGCGTTGAGTACAGCGTCGGAGGTAGTAGGGGCTGGAATTCCTTGAGAAAGGAAAAGGCCAAAGGCCATTGCTAGGAAAAGGGCAAAGTTGAACATCGTTGGTGCTTTATGGTCGCTGGAAGTGCCGGTGGTGGTTGGTGATTGAGTGTCAAGTCAAGGACTAGCGAGTGGAAGAAAGGGAAGGAGACCAGGGGAGGGCGGGAAGTTGAGATCTAGTATATCGCTGCTACACTGACGATTTGAAAATGAGATGAAGGGGTTGGTGGCTGTTTGACTGTTGGAAGTTAACGGACATGAATGGAATGCTTGGGATTTGTTATGGGTTAGGTAACAAAGGCCTCGTGAAGCAAGATCGAAGCAGGATTGGGAAGAAGCGAAGATAAATAACAATAAAAGAGGGAGCTATCTTGAAGAAGCTAACCTGGCCTAACAGATGGAAGGTATGGAAGACCATTAGAAGGCCTCAACCATTGGCCAGCTTAAGTCTTGTACATAAAACACGTATAGCCAAGAACTCCCC